CCCGCTAGGGTTTCATGTCCTGGGGTCCAGACTATGACTATTTCGGGGGGATCTTTGATTTTTTTTTAACGTTTCGAGGGCCAATCGTGATATTCGGCCTAGTTGGTAATTTCTGCAGGCGGCTTGTGAGTCTGTTATTATCGTGAGGAGTTCCTTGCCTGTCGTCGCCGCAAGAGCGATTGCTGTCTCCTCTGCTGAGTCCGTGTCTGGGGTCCTCACGGAGGCCGCCGCGATTTCTTCTCCCTTGTTGTTTACCACGCTAATCGCGTGTGCTTTCTTTCCCTTGTATTTCGCTGCGTCTGTGTACCGCACGCGGTCATCGTCTCTCTCGTAGGTCTTTCTCAGTGCTCTCACTCTTGCCATTCGTCGTTCTTTGTTGTGTTCTGGATGCATGTTGCGAGGAATGGATGCAACTGTGATATTGTCTCTTAGTTGTAATGGAATCCTTTGCTTACTTCTTGACTCGTCTTCGATTCCGTAGCCCAGTCTTCTTAAGGTGTCCCTGCCTGTACTGGTGAGCTTAAGTCTTTCAACCTGGCTCACCTTGTGTGCTTCTGCCAGCTCTTCCCATGTGTTATGTATACCCAATCGGAGTAGTTTCTCTGTGGAGGTTGTTGGGGAAAGCCCCAAGGCCAGTTTGTATGTCTTGCGAATGAGTGTGTTAATCTTCTCGCGCTCGCTGTTTTTGAGCCCCAGATACGGGGTCCCGTACGTTATTCTGCTGATGACGAGTGCTTGAATGATTCTCAAAGTGTCTTGCTCCTTGAGGCCGTGGTTTCTGTTTGTTACCCGTTTTACTAGGTGCGTAACTTGTGTGACTGTTTCTTGGAGTTTTTGCACTGTGGCGATCCCTGCACCATCCTTCTGAAATACTACTCCCAGGACACGGAGCACGTCGACTTGTGGGATGTTATCTTCATGTAGAGTTAGTACGGGGTCTGGTGTTTCCGGTGGAGGACGACCTCTCGCCCTCTTTTTTAGCACCAAAAGTTGCGATTTATCCGGAGCGCACGAGAGACCACAATCTTTCAAATATCTCTCGGTCCTGTTCACCGCTTCTTGCAGAGCGTCTTGCTGCATTCCTGCCGACCCCGACGTCGTCCATATGGTAAGGTCGTCCGCGTAGATTGCATGGCTGAGACCTTTAATGTCTTTTAGAAGAAGCGGTAGACCCCTCATTGCAATATTGAAAAGCAACGGCGAGATCACCGATCCCTGAGGGGTTCCCTTTTGTGGAGCCTTGATCTGTTCGGTCCTTAGGTTTCCCAGGCCTATGGTCGCTGTCCGGTCTGTGAGAAAGTCACGGACGAAATTGTAAGTCTTTTGGCCGCAGTTTGTCCTTTGTAAGCTGTCTAGCACCGCACTGTGGGAGATGTTGTCAAACGCCCCTTTGACGTCCAATGCTAGAATTGCGCTCTTGTGCTGCGTGCTGAGGTTGTCTATTACATCCTCTTTGAGTTGAAGAAGGATGTCTTGGGTCGATAGGAGAGGTCTGAATCCAAACATCGTGTTAGGGAGGAATTCGTTCTCCTCGAGATACGGGGATAATCTGTTGTGTACCATGTGCTCGAATAGCTTTCCCACACACGATGTGAGGGATATTGGTCTCAGGTTCTGCACAGTGATCGGTTTGCCCGGTTTTGGGATCATTGTCACATCCGCGTGTTTCCAGCATGCCGGTATCTTCCCGGTCTCCCAGCTCTCATTCATGTGCTTAAGGAGACACTCCGTGGCTCTGTCGTCCAGGTTACGGAGCGTCTTGTTGTTAACTCTGTCCCTTCCTGGGGTCGTGTTTCTCGTCAAGTTCCTGAGCGCCGCCACTATCTCTGCCCTGCTGAAGGGTTGATCCAACTCTGGGTTGGATTTTCCCTCGTAGTCCAGGTGAGTGATCGTCGTCGTCTGTTGTTGTTGGTTGCCAATGTATTTTTCAGTGATGGCTTCGAGCACGTCTTCCTCTGAACCCTGATAGTTGTGGATGAGGCGTTGAATATGTTGGCACGTGACCTTCTTTGACTCGGTCTTTGCCAGCAGCGACCTAAGTATTGCCCATGTTTTGCGATTGCTCAGGGTACCCTGTAGCCGGTCGCATAGCTGATTCCAGTTTTGTATTCCGAGTTTCTCTGCGTACTCCTCAGCTTCCCTGGTCAACAGGGCAATGCGGACCTTGAGCTTGCGGTTTCTCTTTTGTTTCTTCCATCTTTTTAGGAGGCCCTGTCGGGCCTCCCAGATGTGGAGTAAGTGCGGGTCAACTTCGGGGTTGTCCGAAGTGAGTTGTATCGTCTTTGTGTGCTTGGTTACCTCTTCCATCACTTGCCTGGTCCATTCTTCAATATCGTCCATGTCCGCTGGGTGTTCCACCTTTCGGAACGCGGTCCAGTCCGTGATCTTCGCTTGTCCCGTTCTCAATGGAGTCTTGTTGTGTCGGAGTTCGGTTTGAATTATATAGTGATCGCTTCCTAGGGTTTCTTCCAGCCTTGTCCATTCGATTTGCCGTATGCCCTTCGAGAAAGTTAAGTCGGGGCTTGTGTCCCTGGAGATGCTGTTTCCAATCCTGGTTGGACACTGAGGGTCGTTCCACAGCGTCAGTTGGTGGTGCTGAGCCGCGTTGTGCACATCCGTGCCCTTCTTGTTGGTTTTGTGGTATCCCCACGCTACATGCGGTGCGTTGAAGTCCCCAACTACGAGTATCTTCTGCCCTTTGGTAACTTTCTTTACCTCCCTCAGGAACTTGTCCAAGTCCCTTAGGTTGTCCGAGGGCGGGCTGTAAACATTCAGGATAAATAGACTCTGTAATGTCTTCTTTTGTGGTATCATCTCTATCAAAGTGTGCTCAATTCTGTGGCCGATTTGGTGTTGTTGTGTTGTGTGGTGTTTCTTGGTGAGGATGGCTGTCCGGTTTTTTCCTTCGGCTATGTGTGTCTCGTAGCCCCGTATCTTTATGGTGTCTGTTTCTGTTTCTTGTAGCGCGATGATATCCGGTTGATGAAGGCTGATAAATTGTAGTAGATTTTGTCTTTTCCGGTTAATCGATCGGCAATTCCACTGCCAGATTTTGAGGATTTGGGCCGCGTCTTTCTTTCCCGTCTCTTTACTCTCCATTGTGGGTTCTGATCGTTTCTTCTGTCAGCGCATCCCCTCCTGGCGACGTTTTCGGCTTCTTTCGGGCTTGTTCCCTTTCCTTCTCAAGGTCGGAAATACGTTGGTTGAGCTCATCACCCATCTTGCCCATCTGGGCATTGAGGGTCTCCCCCATTCGATCAATCTTGGCGTTGAGGGTCGTACTCATTTGGATGATGGTTGGATTAACGTTTTCAAAGACCTTATTCACGGTTTCCATCATTTTGCTCATTTTATGTTCAACTGCTTTTGTCATCTGGCTCATTGTCTGATCAATCTTCTGATCGATCCTCTCATCTAATTTTTTTATGTGATATTCCATTTTTTGTTCGAGGTCCTCCGGCAGAGGTGTCGGAGCTCGCGGCGGTATTTGCGGCAGTTGTTGCTGCTGTTTCTGCATCTGCTCTATAAACTGTTGCAGTTTCTGCTCTAGGGCCTGTTCCCTAGCCTTCGCTTTTTTTTCGTTGTTTTCTAAGCGCCAGATAAGCTCCGCGTTCTGTTTCTTAAGTGTGTCTATGGTCTGCTCGAAATGTGCGTTACTTGAATCCTGCTGCGTGACCGGCAGTGGGGGAAATGGGTCTGGAGCATTGGGAGAGTGGGACCCCAGCTGGGGCCAGCTCACCACTCTGTCCTGCGGCAATGACGTCCGTTGCTGCTGCTCGAAAGGGCGGTCGTTTGCACCTCCCGTCCAAGCGGCTTGTTTACTTTGCGATTTGCTTCTTTCCCTTACGTGTAACGGTGGGGGACTTGGTTTGAGTCGTTTCTGGCATTCCTTGCTTGCCGTTTCGTGGGGTTGGTAGCACAGCTTGCACTTAGGCTGACACTCGTGATTGTCTTGAGGATTTTCCGCTCCGCATCGGTTGCACCTGTTTGTGTCCGGGTTGGGACAGACGTCCTGTCTGTGGCCGACATTCCCGCAGGCTCTGCAGTACTGCACGGATCTGCGGTGGGGCCGGCATCGGGTGAACACGCTACCCGCTTTCACGTAGAATGGCACGTGCGGTCCCTCAAACGTGAGTAGCGCCGAGCTGGATTTTCCGAGCATTCTTGCGTGCAGAATGCTGTAGCCGTTGACTGAGATAAGTTCTTTAAGTTCCTCTTCTGTTGTTCCTGCTTCTATTCCGTGCACCACTCCTCGTACGGTGCCCGGGAGCGGTTTTAGGTAAGGCATGAGTTCGTACAAGGCCGCGCCTAGCTGTATCTGGGTGATCATGCTCAGCTTCATGGCGTAGTCCTCGTCCGCAGTACTTGCGATGATCAAGTTCTGAGCCCATTGCGTCTGGATCGTCACATTCGAGTAGAAGTCTTTGAATGGAAAACCGCCTGCTGTGGCGATGCCTTGCGTGAGGCTTTTATCAGACCACGAAGAAAGCTTGAGGCCCGTTCTTGGTCTGTATACTACCTTGTATTCATCCTCTGGTAATGGTGGCAACATGCGTTTCCTTGGTGGCGTGTTGTTGCCTCCGCGGGTTCTTCCGTCCCCGCGTCGCTGTTGCTGCAGTTGGTTGTTGGTCGGTTGCATCTTTGGGTTGGTCAGCCCACTCGTATCTTCTTTTAGATTCTGGGCGCTGTTCGCCTTGCTGCTTCCTTTTATGCGGTTCTCATCCGCTGTTTTCTGGCTTTTTCTTTCTTTGAGAACTTCGTACCACGGGCCAGGCTGGCTCAGCGTCCTGCCGCTGTTTTCATCGAACTCCATGTGCGTGCCGCTCGTTCTGGTACTCGCGCTGTTCTCCATGTCTATCTCGTTGTTCATTCCCTGCTTTGTTACTTGCGTATGTATCATGCTTGCGGGGCCCGAAGGCCCGCGCGCAAAGCGGGTTTCGGCGTTGGGTCTCGCTTATTTCTTTCTCTCGGCGGGTGCCCCGTGTTCGAGTATAGCCAAGATGGCGACCGCTTGTATTCCTGGTGAGGCTTAGCTCTCCGCATACGAGGTAGATCTTTCCAAGGTGGAAATTTGGCCGAAAAATTCACTCACTTGTGCAGCTGTGGTATCCCTCGGTGCCGCTTTTCTTGGTGAATTGAATGACACTGAAGATTATAAGGATATTTTGGTACTTTCGCGTTAACTGCCTAAAAAGGGCAGGAGCCCATGTGGAGCAATTCTGCTTCGCTCGGCCCCCTGGTGTCTTTTCACGCCGGTACGATGCTCACCCAGATCGAAACGGGCAGGGGTGGGGATTGAACCCAGGATCCCTGGGTTCTGCAGCGCGAGCTTTCGCTCCACGTGCTCCGAGCTGGTGTGCGCTAGCCCACTCAAAGCATGCCAGACAGCTAGCGTAGCGAGTATACCTGCGGTTTTCACATGCAAGCAGCCTTTAAACCCACCTGATAGTACCTATAGTGGTACACACCGCTAAAGGCAAAGACAGCTCTTGTTCTTGTCTCGCACGCGATCGCGAGAGCGGGGGCTGGGGGAAGCAAAATACCTTCATGTAGTCAGCAAAGCGTTTAGACGTTAGTATTGCAAGACTAAATCTAGTGACTTTGCCGTCTCGCGAAAGTACAGTACCTTATTTCACTGAGATGGCACACGCGTCACGTTTATATTTATGCGGTGTTACGTATGATGAAAAATATACTAAACATACCAAATGAAAGCTAGCATAACTTACCTGGTTCTTGACATACAGAAGGACTCGAAGCAGACACGGGTGTCGGGGTCCTGGCGCATTAGTCGCACAGTGGTGGCGTACTCGCCGAGCGTCTTTCTATACCTCAACAGCGTGCGGATGGCCCTTCGCTTCTTTTTTGATACTCAAGTACTGCTCACACGCAGCCGCGAAAGCAGTCAGCCGAGTCATGTTTACGGTTCTTGCATTGCTGACGTACTACCTTACCACACAAAGGTTCATTAGCTCAGCAATCCCAGCTTCGTACATGGGATCCACACGAAACGCCATCACGAAAGCAAAGGAATGAAGACGGCGCCGACGGCGCAACCAGCGCAGCGATCCCACAGATTAATTTACAATGGACACTCGCTCGGGACCAAAGCTGCATTTCGATTGGTCGTCACTTCACCGCCAGAGTGCGCTCGTTCTGCGTGCGCGCGTGCGCGCTCGCCGGAAGCTGCACCCTCCAAACATAAGCGCACGCGGTTCTGACTCAAAAAGCGCGCCGGAAAGAGCAAAATCGTCACAAAATACGTCACATGCGGGGCGCGCACGACGTACTGCCGCAAAAAGACGCGTTGGTTTGGATCGTGCTTTACCTTCCAGCCTAACCTTTTGCTGCCATATTTGACATTTTCCGGGAATTTTCACAGCTGCTGTTGCGAGCTTGTCACTGTTTAGAACTTCGGTGCTCTCGCTCCGGATTCTTGATTGTTTTTGTTCGCCTTACCTGCCTACTCGTTCTCCGTGATAACTTTAGCAATCTGTTGCGATGTCCAGTAGTGCGTAGCTCTCGCGTTCTGTGCAATTTGGGGCCCTGAGCCTCGACGGTCCCTTCCTCTCGAAATGTGTAATGGAAACAACTGCTAAGGTCAAAATATTTTGTTATCACCAGTCAGTAAACAAACAATCACAGGTCTAAATATACTTCGTGTCTATTCAAGGCTTTGACACCTCTTTTTGAAAGATAGGAATTAGAACGATTGAATTAGGTGATGCTTCACTCGCTACTGTAGCTACTCACTGAAGAAACAGCGAAAAACAGCCGCCGGCATCGACTGCCGACGGAGAACGTTTATTTACATCAAGTAATTCCTTTTCACCCTTTTTATTCGTTCCTCTTGGCGTACCCTACCTTTGCCCTGCTGTCATTCATTACTCAAGCGAAGCCAGCGTTTAGCTATAGGCGCACTCTAGCAAATAATATGGACCATATATATTTTCAAGATACCAATATACTACCAAAAATATTTGAAACTTAGAGTAATTGAGATAAGGCACACGTATGTAAATCTGGCGAGGAACACTAAACAAAGCAGGTTCCAGGTTGAAAGAAGGGAAAAGATGAAGGAGCTAGATAATGAAATGTTATTTTTGCAGGAGTTCAGAAGCAGGCCTTATACTTAGTCGCGCATCTATCAGCAGTGCCAAGCGCAAGCGTGTGGCATTGGATAGTGCCTTCTATGCGCGCGTTCTTGTTCAAACAAGTTTTTCTGCTACGCTATGAACCACGCATTTGTACCGTTGTATGCACTGTAGACATTTGTAAAATTGATCATACATGGGAAAGGTTTAATGGTAAGAAAGAAGTAGTCGTATTTAATGGTATTCAAGTCGTACTTATTGGTAAGAAAAGAGTAGTAAATATTGCCAGCAACAACTAAAGGGCATAAGGTCATTCAACAATGCATGGAGGAATTTGGAACGGGAGGTTGACGGGTCTGGTTTAATACCGCGCAAAGCACCTTGAGAACCCTTTAGCCACTAAGCTTCGCTTTCGATTTGCCGACCTCACTTCACGACATCCCGTCACAACCGAATGCAGTGCCTGCATTTTCGAATATGTAACTTTCCTTAAATGTATATTACTATAAGTGCTGCCTATCAAAATTAATAAAATGTCGGGGCACGTTTTCTTGGACTCCCGACGTGTCAGAGTTTGTGCGCAGGTAAACATGTGAGTACGAAAGCACATGGAAGAAGTATAATACTTGGCCGTTCATTCTGTTCCATCGTATCCTCAATGTCCTTGGCTTTTTATATGATCCGTGAGCTTGGAGGGTCCCGCTGCGGAGTGTTAGCCGGGTCGCCAGAAAGGTATGGGAAGCAGCCGGATATACTCCAACTCCTCGCTTAGCATAGGCAGGTCCTTACGGCCGTTGAAGGTCCGTGTTTTAATGGGAGCTCTCGCGAAGCTGAATGAGTGCCACGCGAGCGAGAGCTTACTTTATTTTCATGCAGTGCTAAGAGGCACTATTTCGACAACGGGGCTATCCAAACCGAAACGATGCCACTCCTCTCCAAGGACAAATAGGTCTCATAATGCAACGGGTGCAGTGTTGCGCGCAGGGATTTTTCGAAGTAGCCTATTGTCCCCGTGCAACTGTCAAACCCAAACTTCACAAGGAAAGGTCATAACCACACGCGGCTCTGTGGAGCGTGTCACTCTTTCAGACGCTGCAATCCGATTGTTTGGACACTGAACAGATTTTTTTGGAACTCGCTCAGTGGCAGGTTTCGCACAGGCTGCGTCTGAGGCCATGACTGGGATGCGCCCGTTATGGACAAGTATGATGTTTCTCGTTTTTCAATCCATGCAGCTGGGTAAGTTCACGTTTATTGAATAATAGTATAGTTTGACCGCCTTTATTATAAAGTGTAATGTATAGTCCTATCCGCTGTTGACGACTGTCAACAAACATGCGTAGGGAGGGGTTCGTCTGAAAGAAAAGGATACATTTTTTAGCCTTTGTGTTATGATCTTTCTGCCTTTTTGGCAGTTAGCGTAAAGGCCCGCTCACACACTTGCAATCTAGTAGGACCTATTCAGACAAAACCGGCTTTTAAGCCTCTTGCGACGGTGTAGGACCGGAGGCGCTGCTACGGAGCAGATCCTAAGCCGTCGCAAGAGGCTTAAGAACTGGTCTTGTCTCAGCCGGTCCTACTCGGTTGCAAGTGTGTGAACGGGCCTTTAACTTCTTTAACTACAGCTAGAAGAAATACTTCAGGCATTTTGAAAATTTTTGCAATGTCGTGTTTCACAATTCCGGAAAGGATAAAAAAGGTGGGTCAATAGTTTTAAACATTGTGGGGATTGTGATCCCTCAACATTCTGTCGCGTCAGCGTTTTGGCGCGCCGTGGCGGCCGCGCCGACATAGCGAGAGGTGGCGCTGCTTACCACTGTGAGTGGCTTCCTCCTCTCGCCCTTGGGGCGATTTCCGTAACGAACCCCCGCACAAAGGAGATCGACGTGTCGCTCCTTGATTGGCCACTTCGCCCCCGCCGCTGGACAGCAGTATCTCCGCTCTCTCCTTCCTGGGATTCGGCGGCGGCGACAACGGGGAACCGTCCGGTGCACCGGTGAGCGTTTACCCCGTCCTTAGTATCTTTGTGAACGACCGTTCGGCCGTGGGCGATCTCCACACCGACGGCGTTCACCAGCTTATAGCTGCTGTGTTCTTGTTATTTGTTTCATTGTAAATAAACAGTTTATCACCGTTACCAACGTGACTGGTGTCTGTTTGCGCTCAACGAGCAGCATGCCACGCGAGTACGAACCCGCTTCGCGGTAGAGCGTCTCGCCGCGAACGTGGTACTCCCAAAGGCAGTGGCCCTAAGGAGAACCACAACATTTAGTATGTCAAAACAGGTTATTTTAAGATTATAATGCTAAAATACGTGGATTCGTGTCTTTTTTTTTTTTTTTTTTTCTTGTTGGGATAAAAAAGTAACTAGTGGAGGGAATATGAAGGCACTCTCACGACTGACTGTTCTGTGCTCTGGAAGGGGGGGAGCCAGCGACTGTGCTGTACTGGGTTGCCATTTCCAGCCTCGCGAAGACACGTTCCGGCCGCTGTACCGTATCTAGTGTTGTAAGCGTTACAACGAAAAAAAAATTAAAGAAATAAGCTATTTGCTACTTGCAAATATAATGAAGGCGTTACAGACCTACGTTACGTCAAAATGAAAAGAACGTGTTACCGTTACCTATAAAAGGTAACGGTAAGATGTGCGCAGCTTTCATTTTTATGAATAAGACACGCGTATGTGACTAAAAGCGCGTTACGACGGTCGATCCACGCGCGTTGCCTTCGCTTCGACGCGCGCCCCCTATGCCCTTCCTTTGTGACGTCACGAGAAGATCGCCACGGCCTTTTTCTCTAGGAGGTGCTGCGTCACGTCGGCCGTGCCTCGCGAGGAAAGGCCAGCCCAGGTGCCCCGCCAATAATAGGGCGTCGCAGGGAGAATGTCAACTTGGTTTTAAAAGAGCACAAAAGACGAGGACAGAGTAA